TACTATCTATGTATATACCATATTACCATGTTGAATTTTATTATAAACAATGTTCGTAAAATAGAATAAGAACAATTTTCGTTCATAATATTATCATGTGCATATTTTTTATTTTATTTTTCTAATTTTCTTTTCCATCACTGATATAGATAAAAGAGTATCTGAGTATACCTGCTATATGACAGAATATTATTGCCTATATTTCATAATATTCAGGTTTTTTTAAAATTCACTCATTAATAAACGATATTTTAAGATTTGATCTAACTATATTTGTAACTAAATTATAAATTATATATTATTTTATAAATGAATATATTAGGTACATAAATAAATAATATTACTAACGATGTTTTAAAATTATTTCCGATTCTTTTAGTATATGAGAATTAGGTGCATCTAGGGTGATTCACCCACCATGACGTGCAACCCCCTTATTTCCTTTATTAATAAATTTATTCATATTCTGATTTTCAATCATATTTTAAAATACTTTTGATTATTCATACCGTTTGGTACTTAGGATTGTTCTATGTTGATAGACACGATAGAATTATACAAACTACGTTTTTTCAATGGGGAAATGCTTTATACGATTTTATAGTTTTATTAGTGTAATATAGGATAAGTAATCTTATATTATTAGGTATTATATATATATAAACTGGTATCTAGATTTACAACAGTTTCATAAAACTTTTTTCAACATGTTAGATTTACTGAATAATGATATAACTATATTATGAGTTATGTAAATATGAATACGATGATAATACAATATTTTTTAGTAAGTAATTTAGAATATGTATCAGTTGTATAAATGCAAATAGTTTGTTCTCAATTCTTTTCAACACGATTTGAAATTGGATTAAATTTCAGGCTTGGAAAATTCAGAAAATTCAGACATCAAACTGCCCGTGATTGACGTAAAATAATTTTTATTATTTAACGTTTCTATATTAAGAACACAATTATTTTGGTTTAAATTATTAATCACGGAATACTAATGGAAATATGGAATATAAATATTTAGCATCAATATGAGATAACTAGTTTTTACTGCCGTTTTTGAATATCAGATAATTTATTTCGAAGTAAAAACATAATATAATGATTACTTAGGTTCAAGAATAAAATTATTAAACGATACTTAGAAAGAGACAACATTAATCTGACTTTTTGTAATTATATAACTATTTTAACTTTAATCAAACCTCAACGTAGTATCAACACAATATTTTGTCATAAAAAAATCAAAAAAAAAGTTATCTGAATGATCACAATAATTATATTTAGGTAGGTATATCTTCTTTCACGAGTGTTATTCTATATTATCATAGGTCCATTTTCAATTTAACTCTTCTCATTTCAAATAATATTGACACAGTTTATTGAATTTATAAACATGTTGTGCATACAATTTAAATACATAGTATTATTGTATTTGCATTAAATATTGTAACTTAATAAACTCACAGTTTATTTATTTTAAAAATATTAAAAGTTTAGTTAGTAATTTCTCAAAAGGCTCATAAAATAATAATATTATTTGACTGTAATATCGTTGTAGAATGAAATTGTATTCAAAATATGTGCATCTAAATATAGGTGATATCATATCAAAATATAATGGTTGTTTTTAATTTAGTAAGTATAGTAGTTTTCTCAATTCTAATTGGATTGGTTGCTATAGATTAATACAATTTTTTACCGTACATAACTGTTGTATAATTATGAAATATAATAAATAGTATAGTATATCGTGTGGCAAGTGCGGGATGTGAGCTATTTCAGTCGCAGACAAGAGCAGCATTTCACCCAAGACTGAAATTGCCCTCAAGCACGAGCCACACATACCATTTTTTGTCACGCCTCTGGGTTCATCGATCCCGGCAAAGGTATTGCAGGGATCTATGCAACAACCAAACTATTCTACAAAAACAATATTTTATGAAAGAAATGATTTGGTTTTATTTATTTCAAGCGTCATGAATGGAGGTTATAATATGATTAAAATATATCAAAATAAAATAAGAAATAAAAAATGAAATCGTGTCCAATTCAACGACCACTGATTATTCTACAATTACAATTTCATGAAAGGAAAATGTTTACGATTCATGCACGGAGGTTATAATATGTGATCAAAAGTGTATGTTTTGTAAGGACCGTGGTATACGAGATATACGTGGTATCGTAGATTTCAGTTTAAATAAATAATACTCATTATATTAAAATAAAATAAGAATAAAAAAACGAAATCACGGCAACGATGACTTTGCACTATGCAGGAATCTATGCCCAACAACCAGATTTTTCTACAGTTACAATTTCACGAAAGAAAAATGTTTACGATTCATGCACGGAGGTTATAATATGAATATAAGATGTAACCAAAAGTTTATGTTTTGTAAGGACCGTGGTATAGATTTCAGTGTCTGACCGTGCAGGGGATATGCGTGATATGTGCGCCCAGCACTTTTGGGGATTTCCACTTTACCTTCCGGCACCATGGGGATTCCCACTTTACCGTCCGCTGGACGGAAAAAGGTCGCTTTCCAACGCCTTGACCGTCATCGAAAACTAAACTTTCAAAAAAAAATAAATATTTTTTATTTATTTCAATGAAAGATTAAATATCTCATATTAATTAATATTTTGCCGAATGGAATAGCTGAGATTTCGCAGGATTGGATGGAGAAGTATTTCGATGTCAGATTAATATGTACCTATCACGGAAGGAAGGTTTACCTGAGTGCTGGTAGAGAAGTCTAAGACGACTGAATCTATTTGAATTTCGATGTAAAATCCTTTGCCATGACAATTTAAGTTTCGTAAAATAATAATCCGCATCAAACCATCATGTTTTTTTTTTGGTTTTTAATAACTGTCTGTCGAAGTGGCCAATGGGAGGGATTTACATTTTATATTTATTTATATAACTACGGATGTTATATAAAAAAAAGTATACACAGTGGTTAACAAATACGACAATGTAAAATAAACAGTTAAGAGAATATATTAAAGTTACAATCATTTTTTATATAATAATCACGGATATTATGTGGAACGTTCTAACATTTATTGTTATTCTATTTTTTAATTCCAATGTTTATATTGAAACCAATCGGTTCGTTGTTTATCTTTGTGTACTATACAATTTCACGTTTCACTATTTATTCGACAATAAATACTTTGCGAAGAGAAAGGTCGCTTTACCGTCGTTAATAGGCGTAAAATTAAATACTATCGATTCTAAGCTTCTTTAATGAAATTTATGTTTAATCTGTAGTTTTCAATTTAAAGTTTTAAGTATTTGATTCAATCGTAGATATTTTATCCCATACCTAAGTGTTTTAATTAATAAATAACTTTTAGGTAAACCACAACTATTCCTTCATCACAATACATTGTAAATTAAAAATAATCGAAATTGTTCGTATACTACGAGTATCGACTGTATTAATACACTATAACAAGAATCTTCTTGCTTAACACTATTCATTGAGTCTGAGTTAAATTTGTATAAATTTGTTATACTTTTAATAAATAAATACTATTATATCAAAACTACACGATTTGCATTAATTTCATTTCTCTAATATAATTTATAACTACAGTGCATGAGCTATTTGATATTGGACAACTAACGTCCTTAATACCGTCATTTCGAATATGTGAATACCTTCGTTCAATCACATTCAGCTTATTTGTCTTGCTATGTATTACGTTGTTGAAATGTTAATAAAGTACCGTTCGTTTAAAAATGTAATTTATAGTTCTAAGTTCCGTAGTACCTACTTTAGTAGATAGTAAATAGTTAACACATAAGTTTTGTTATTATCAAACTTTTGTTTGTTCGATATTTTATATATATACATATCGTAGATACGTATATTTACCTATAATAAGTATAATGTTATTAACACTGTTTAAACATTTTTTTTTTCAAGAATCTCAATTAAACGCATCTAATTGATTTTGAAACAAGAAAGTTTCGATTTTCCTTAACGGAGCTCTCATATCATTGTTACATTCTCTTCGTTCGATGTTTTTTATGTAATTGTTTTTTTTAACAACTTTTGTACTGTTTTTCAATACAATCGTACAAAGTAAACGCAACATATAAAAAGTATTTTTGTTGGATAATATTTTTTCCAGCTATTTTATATACACTTGTATCAGATATTTTCAAAAATTAATATCCACTTATTCATATTGTTTATTTGTACGTTGATGGATTTTTAAATAACCATAACTATCATAATAGCAATACTGTTTAGGTTTTTCTGCAAATTTTTTACAAAGGCAAAATAAAAATAACTCAATAGTTAAGACAACAAATTATTATAAAATATATTATAGCTACTATAGTAAACAATGGTAGTAGGTAGGTACCTATATAAATATATTTTTTACAATAAAAATTCATAAATATTACTTTTATGACTCGATGCTATCTTGAATTATTTGTATTTTAATGATTTTAAATATCCACAATTTATCCTTATATTTGTTTCTTATATTTATGATTTTTGTAACTATATTTCTTACCACATTCGTGGACAACTACCGCTATAGTAGTAATTTTAAAAATTGATGTACATATATCACTACTGCTATGGCAGTAGAATATAAACTGTTAAAATAAACACAGTACTGGTATAGCAGTAATAATTACAATGGTTTCATATGAAACAACATGTTTTACTGTCCTACTGCAATACTTCAGAAAATTGGGCACTGTATTATATATGTTTTATTTTTAGATTTATTTATCGTTCCTTTTTCTTGGGTTTTTTTTTTTATTTTATTTTTATTTTTATGAACCCTATATTCGATATCATTATCATTATCGCTTTATAATGTTACAATACAATAGTATACAATTGTCTACGCCATATATTTGAACCATAATCCATCGATACGAAGTGTTGTTTATATAAATATTCAGTTCGATTATAAACGTCGTACGTTGTCGGTGTCGCGTGCGACTGAATATGTCACGTAATAATATCGAAAAAGTGCGTAAATATTTAGATGAATCATTTGATTCTACTGAATATTCTGATCAAGATGATTCAGATGTTGACCCAGATTTTTCGTTACAAAGTTCGAGACAAGATTCATTATCAAGAGCAGGGCCGTCTCATACAAATACTGGGAGTGACACGAGCAATGAATCGTTCGAGGTAAGCTCAAGTGATTCAGATAATAATGATTACAATAATGCTAATAATAATGGTAATGATGATCAATGGTATGAGAATTGGGAAGATATACCAGACTTCCAATTTGACAGTAGTATGTCAGGAATAAAGCTAAATATACCTGATTCCGCAAGAGATAACCCTTTAGAGATATTCGATATGTTATGGACACGTGAAATCACTGATATGGTTGTATCCTCGACAAATAATTATGGTGTAAAATTGACTTCACAAAGTCGTCCACATAAAAAAAACTGTCGTATAGCTGAGTTTAAAAAAGTTGATGGGGAGGAAATAAATACATTTTTGGCCATTTGTTTACTCTCTGGATCTATGAAATTTTCCGTAATCAGAGATATGTTCTCATACAATCCGCTATATTATCATCCTATCATACCAAGAACTATGTCGGGTAGACGTTTTGAACAGATTTTAAGATGTTTTAGTGTTGAATATTATGACACAGAAAAAGTAAATAGTACAAATGATCCAATAAAAAAAATTGAACCAATTTTAAAAAAACTTATAAATAATTTTCAACTAGCATATATTCCATATGAATGTCTATCACTTGATGAATCGCTTTTACTACACCGTGGTCGCCTTTTATTTCGACAATATATGAGACTTAAAAAAGCACGGTATGGTATAAAGTTTTTCGAGCTCTGTACGCCCGATGGATTTGTTCTAAACATGGAGATGTATAAAGGAAAAAGAGAAGAAATTCAAGTTGGTTCTACATCAAAAATAAATAGTTTAGTTTTTCGTATTTTGGAAGCTTTTCTTGATAAAGGGCATACAGTGTTTATGGATAATTATTATAATAGTATAAGTCTTTCAAGAGAACTCCTAAATCGAAAAACACATACAACAGGAACACTGCGCAGTAACCGTAAAGGCAACCCAAAATGTGTAACCACAAAAAAGTTAAAATCTGGGGAATATATTTGGCGTCGACAAGAAAACATTTATGTATCTAAGTGGAAAGATAAAAGGGATATAGTTATTAGCGATAACTACAAAGTACCATCCACAGCTTTTATCATCCAAAAATCGATTCGGAAATGAAAAAAATAAACCAAATGAAATTATTCAGTATAATAATAATATGAGTGGTATAGATAGGTCAGACCAAATGGTAAAATATTACAGCAGCCCACGAAAACAATCACGATGGTATAAAAAAGTTTTATTTCATCTGTTAGATATTACAGTGTGGAATAGTTTTTACCTATACAAAAAACATTTTGGCTGCAATTCTATGACTTTTAAAGATTTTCGCGATATTTTAATAAAAAATATGATAAACCTTCCAATAGATGTAACAGCTAATCAAATTTTTAATGCTCCAAAATCAAAAGATCCAAAAAACAAACGACCAATGTCAGAAGAAGGACAACACTATCAAGAAAAAATCCCATTACCTCCACTGTATAAAAGAAAACATTACTTCAAAAACTGCAAAATGTGCACAAAAAAACACGTGAGGAAACAAACCCAGTATCAATGTAAAGCTTGTAATGTTCCACTGTGTCCCGGTTCATGTTTCGAAGACTTTCACAAAAATATGTCATAAAAAATTATTTCATTATTTTATATTTTATTGGTTCAATTTATATAACTATATAAGACTATATTTTAATTTTTTTTTTAATTTCATACTATTCTTTTTCAAAATTTGTCATACAAAATAAACCAGGTTGAGTTGAATTATTATTTTTATTTTATTATTTAAAAAATATAAATTATACTGCTATAGCAGTGCAGTGATGTACATAGTTGTAAATAGCAATGCAGAGGGACAGTACTGCTATAGCAGTACCCAAATTATTACTGCTATAGCAGTAATAATTATGTGCGTTTTTAAAAGTAGTTTTTTCCCCTACCGAAAATTTCAACTGTCCACGAATGTGTTAACTTATCTCATATAATAAGTTATACCTAGGTACCAATTATATTATTTATACAGCAGTTATATAAAAAAATCTCAAATTTATATTGTTACTATTAAACTAGATGATCTACGAAATCAATTTTATGCTCCATCTCCCAATGTTTATAATTTATATATCTAAACAAATACATTTCGTTTTTTTAGAAGTATAAAATAATTTGTTTGTGTAATTACCTATATCGGACACGGGGTGAACACCACCGTACCCCTCAACACCCTCAAAATATGGCTCTAATAGAAAATTCCCTATACATTAACCCATGCTTGCTTGCACGTTAAGTAATATACATGTTACATATTATAATTTATTAATGTTACAATAAATTCATAAGTATATCATTAATATTATTATTTTAATTTAATCCATGCCTGAAAGAGGTAGGTACAACATTTTATTATATCGCATGGTAGGCGTGGACAACTACAGATATTTTACCAGTTAGGACCTTAGTCGGACGTATCCGGAGATCATATATTAAAAAAAATAAACCCTTAAAAAATATGATATACTCCGCTTTTGCATACATAAAGACGGAATATGTGACATTTTTTCCGGGCTACTTATTATGCGTGTCCTTGCCGTATAATGGGGTATGGTTGTCATATTATGATGTTCTGTGGAAAAAAAAGATTTCATTTCAATACTTTTCTATTCTTTATTCGACACCTCTATGAGACTATACCATATTGTACTTACTATGTATACTAGGTAATACTTATATAATATAAGAAAATATATTTTAAGACAATTTTTTTATGTGTATTTCATAGATTTAAATTTCAATTCCATACGAGTCTTTTACGTCATTAATACATGTCATTATTGTATGAAAACAATTTCATTGACAAAAATTCAGTGAATGGTCAAATAAATAAGCCTATGTCTAATACAAAATATGTGTAATCATTTTAAACAATTAAAGTAATTGTGTTCGCTATTCAATACTAAAAGATAATGAAATGTCAACTGACACTTAACAACTGACCAAACAACAATAGTATATTTTTCATATTATGTTTTTTTAATTTCAACTTTCTTATGTTTTCCATAAGATTCGACACAGTACACGTATCTTAAAATAAATTGCATTTATTCATATTGTGAAGTCCACATAGGTAATTATTATCGATTCATATAATACATTTTTATACAAAATAAAATTATTATTTAGGTACTAAACGTGCTTGTACGTACGCACAGAGTATGTTACGAGCCCATATGAAACGGACCTAACAACTAACATATTTTTTATTACCAAGCTAACAAAGTAAAAATTAATATAAGTTTTTTGATTAATTATTGTAAATTATATTTAGACTTATAAATTCATATAATTTTTCTCAAAATTAAAGACTCAAAAGATTGGTGTCATCATTTTTTGTCACAAAAGATATAATTAATTTTACTACAAAGAAAGTCGTCGAATTCACAGTCTAAAATTAATCTGTGTGACTGTATATGTTATATTATTTTGGTTATTAATGAGATAAATTAATGGATCAAGTCTGTTTGTATAACAGTTCATATACCTCAAATAATATACATTTAGAATGATTATAATCAAACCATCTCCTACCGTTTATATTTCAGAATTTTAGGTACCTACCTTGCAACGGATTATTTGCTCCCCCCCTTCCTTTCACAGCACATCACTTCAAGTTATTCTCCTCTTTAGATCTTGTTGACTGCGCCTTTAACACATTTCGATCTACTTGAAAATAGCAATCAACTAAACGAATAGCATGTCATCATGAAACTAAAGTTATATTATTTTTATTTTCCAAAATACGTATGTACCTCAATATTATGATGTCGTCTCATACCTACTGGTTTTAGTATACCTATAAAAAAAACTGTTATAACACTTCTTCTGAAATAAAATCTCTAGCATGTAACATTATATTCAAGCATCGGGTAAATCATTGTTGTATTTTATTGTTCAATGATTTATTAGGTAATTATTATGCTGTATGTGGGTTGTAAATCATTATTAAATTATGAAATGATTTGAAGTAAAATATATTATTGGTTTATTGAATAATATAAAGAACAATTATTCAAACGAAATTAGTAGCTGGTAAGAAATTTACTTGAAACTCCTCTTTTTTTTTCTTTTGGGATTGTATCATTTACCACTCTAAAAGTGTTGTACCTATGTAGAATTGAAATAAAATAATTTATAATTAGAAAAAGTGCCATAAAATATCAATTTAATGTTTAATAAAATACTCATACATGTTTAAAAACTATTACAATTATTTAGAAATTTGTTTTCATATTGTTATTTACAGGACGACTAGAACCAGCTGGTTAATTAAATTATATTATATAAATACAAAGTTGTATAATGTACCTATGTATAACGTTATTCACGATTATACCATTTTAGTTATTTATTGATTTATAGTAGATAACAATGTAAATTATTTTACAATTATTTGCACCTCAAAATAATGTAAGAGTAAGGTCCAGTTTTTTCAGCCCACGACCACTAAAACAAAAGTAATTTACATGAATAAAAATATTTGGTCATTTATGTTTAACTTCATATTTTTGCAAGCTCATGCAATAATAATGATATTATTTTGAAATTGCTTATAAAGTTTTATTCTTTTATAAAGTTATATCATTTTTTAATAGTATAGGTACTACTTTTAGATTCTGAGCGGAGCGATGAATGTATTGGTTTTACAATGATGTGTGTTTTTTTTTATATTTTTATATTTTATATTTTTATATTTTTTTTTGTGTCTGTCATCACGTTTTGGGACAGTAAAAGTGCTTCGATTTTCTTCAATAGTACCTTTTCTGATAGGAAAGTGAATCTAGTTGGTACTTTGGGGGGTCAAAAGTAAACATTTTCCAGTAGTTTTCACAAGCGCCGGGAAAAACAACATAAAAATTAAGGAAAAAACGGGAATTTTTACGCAAAATCGATTTTCCAAAAAATCGAATTTGGTTTTTGGTGTAACTTTAAAACAAATGACCGTAGATACATGAAACTTTCACTGGTTGTTTATAATTGCATTTTCTATACACGATAACATTTTCAAAATATTTTGATTTATTTTGAACTATTTAGGGACATTTTCATTTTCCATTTTTTTTTAGTTTTTTTTCTAAAAATATCAATAAAATTTTATTTGTTGGTTGCGAAAGCTTGAAAATTTAATAGAAGGCTCCTAATATGTTGTTTCAAAGGCAGATGAAAAATATTAAAAATCCTTAGTCACAATTTTTTTTTATAAGCATTTAAAGTTCAAAAATTGACAAAATATGGAAAAATCACGAAAATTAGCAAATTATTTTGAGTTAAGAATTCGTAAAAATTTTTCTTTTTAAATCTAAGATTTGAAAATGTAATATAAGATTACTCATAAGTTTGTCTACCTTTATCAATAAAAAATCTCTACCGGAATGTCAAATTAAATTTTTATGAGCGTTTGAAATTCAAATTTTTACAACATTGGATGTTCACTCGATTTCTCATGTAGCGATTTCCTTATTTTGTTGTAATTCAAAAACGAATAACTGTAGATACATTAAAATTTCACTGAATTTTTATATTAGCATTTCCTATACACCATACAATTTTGAAAATATTTTGACTCTTTTTGAGCTGTTTATGGACATTTACAGCTTTCAATTTTTTTTAGTTTTTTTTTCTATAAATATCAATAAAGTTTTATCTGTTGGGCCAAAAAGTGTAAAAATTTAATACAAGGCTACTGATATATTGTTACAATATCAGTTGAAAAATATTAAAAATACATTGGCACGATTTTTTTTTATAAGCATTTAAAGTTGGAATTTTGACAAAATTTATCAACATCTCGAAAATTATCAATCGTTGGAATTAAAAAATTATAAAATGTTCAGTTTTTATAACTAAGAGTTGAAAATTTAAAACAAAGATTCTCTTAAATAATTCATACTGTAATCAAAAAATCTAAGCAATATATGAACACAGTTATTTTTTACAGACATTTTAAATTCAAATTTGGACGAAATTACATATTAAAATCAATATTAACGATCTTGGTTTTTTGTTGTAATTTAAAAATATTATTCGGGGATATATGAAACTGAAAAATCAACACATTATGGCCTATCCATACAATCTACCATAGTATAAGGAATAAGAAGTATGCTCAATGATAAGACTGTGCATATTTTAAGGGGCAATGAATAATTTATTCATAAATTCCATATAATTTAATACCATAAATAAGTATATAATATGTCTTATACCTAGACTGACATACCGCCTCCGCTCAGAATCGTTTTTCTTATACAATGATATTATATCATTGAATTCAAATTTAATACCATCCATCATACAGTGACCCACTTGTAACCTACAGTACAGCAGAGCGACATCCACTTACCCACCTTTTTTTTTTATAAGTATTTGTTTTAGATACATTTAACAGAAAAAGTGTATTACGTACCTAATTTTAAAAACGTGTGTCTCAAGCGACCCTCTGCAGAAGATGTGAAAACATAAAATTTTTATATGATCTTAGAAATATAGTTTTATTATGACGCATATATTATATAAAAGTTACGAACAAATTTAATTAAAAACATCATCGAAGTCTGACATCCGATTTAGTCTGTTAGTGGCAAAAGAATTTTCCTTGTTTTTCGAAAAATTTGGAAAATAATCACAAGTCCGAAAATATTACCTCCATAGAAAATTCGCTCGTCACGAATTCCGATCTCGACCTACCTCCAAGGTTGACTCCCAGTCTGACGTCCGAATCAGACTGTTTGTGGCAAAAGAATTTTCGGTGTTTTCCTCGATCGTAATGAAGCCACGCCCCCCGAGCACAAGTCGTCCTATTTAAATTTCACATGAGATGTTTTCACATAAAAAAAAAATGAAACACCATTGTAGGTTAGGTTAGGTTAGGGTAGAATCTCTCAGAATCGCTCAGAATCTAAAATATTTTATTTGACGTAGCAGACACAGGTGCATATACTATTATAAGATCGATGACTCTTCGTTTAAAATATGTAATAAATTATCATATAATATGTTTCTTTAGCACATACAAGTTATAAATAATGCGACTTATTGATGTGAAAACATCTTACGTGGCGTCCAGACTTTTCCGCTTGGGAGTGAAATTGTTGGACTGTTATTCGAGCGTTACCCTTATCGCATAATGCAGCTGACGTGCTGATTGGTGGAGAATCGGAGCGACGCGACGATAGGCCGACTTGTGCTCAGGGGGTGTGGCTTCATTACGATCGAGGAAAACACCGAAAATTCTTTTGCCGCAGTCTAATTCGGACGTCAGACTCTGGGCGCCAACCTTGGCGGTAGGTCGAGATCGGAATTCGTGCCTAGAGAATTTTCTATGGAGGTAATATTTTCTGACTTGTGATTTTTTCCCAACATTTTCGAAAAACACTGAAAATTCTTTTCCACTAACAGTCCAATTCGGAGGTCAGACTTCTATGTTGTTTTTAATTAATTTGTTTGTAACGTTTATATAATAATATATTCGTCATAATAAAACTTTATTTCTATAAGCTCTTATATTATATGTTTTCACATTTTGTAAGGATCACTTGAGACACACACTTTTTTTTTTTTAATTTTGTATACACAATTTTTACCGGAAGGAATCCTTCAATTTCAACATATACCTATAATATCTTATGTTTTAGCAAATTGCATCAAGATGGTACCTACTTTAGAGAGATAATTTTTCGATTTTCTCAATAGTTATTTAATTCAATAATGCAACGGGATAAACCACTGACAAATTACGAAAAACCGCTAAAAACGGGATTTTAATTTCTAACGCTCTATTTATCACCATAGAAACTAATAAAAAAAATATAATATTGTAATATATTAATTAAACTTAATATAAATAATAATATAGAATATCCAGACTGTCAAACCATCTTCGCTCATAATTGTATTTCTTGTACAATGATATTGTATCATTTAATTCACTTGTAACCTATTGTACAGCAGAGCGACATCCACTTACCCGCTTTTTTTTTTTAAATTAATTAATTATTTTTAAAATTTAAAATTTTGTAAGGTAACCAGCAAATTATAATATTATAAAATATAGGAACGCAATAGTACGTCTGGAGCAGTGAAAGTTGGGTTAAGAGAATAACATAATACTATTATATTTTATTTAGGTACTGAGTTTTAAATATATTTAAGACAAACGCCGGTCTAATCATAGCATGAATACTATAACATAAATGCTTATTGTGCACATTTAATATTAAGTCAAACGAACCAGATATAAATGCAAAAAATGTCTTTAAGATAGTAGATTATTAGATTAAATAAGTAATCCAGTTTCGATTACCAAATAACCCTGGAGATTAACGTACACAATTTAATATAGAACCCCGACCATTAACCAATGGTTGTACATAATTTGTAAAACAAAGATAATTCATTAAAATTATATGTATTATACTTATATAGTATGTGTACGATTATCACGTGGGCTAGCACTGAGGATACTTGGTAAATCAACCCTCTCACCATTTCATTATTTTTTTTTATTATAAATGTAATATTATATTAATAAAATCAAAGTAAATACACCATTAAGACACATTTATAAAAATATATTGTACTATCATATAGGTACACAATATATTACAGTACAAATAGTATATATATATATGGTTGGTATAGATGCTAGAATTTCGAATATCTATATTACAATATATTATCTTTAATACAAATGTTTGTACACTGGACATTGCTTAACTTATCAACTTTATATTTTATAAGGTGGTAGACAATATAGTGTACCGGATCCGTGACTCGTTTTCTGACAACGTCGTATAAGATTTCTGGTAAAACTTCTGAAAAATTTTCTTGCAGAAACTGTAATTCCATTTTGTAATCTTCAAACCACTTTTTCTCTTTTACCGGTGTCAAAAGTTCTATAAAAAAAAAGTAAAAGTTTAAACTTCGTCTGACACAATTTGTATCGCTGTTCTAACCAACGTGTTTGAATGAGGGATTTAGTGTTTTACATGAGAAATCATAAGAAACCATTGGACGTTTCGTTTTGCATTTAGTAATAAACGAAGTATTTTTTACTATATTCGCCGTTGGATTACTTGTCACTGTAAAATCATATTAATATTAAATATAAATAATTATTTAACTAGTTAAAAAAACCACTTTAAATATAAAATTATACGTTTGAATCAACGAAGTTTAAATTTTCAATTTATACTTAATAATTCCTTAATAATTAACTTAACACATTACACATACCTAAATTGTATTGAAAATCTCATACCTAGTATATTTATTTAATATTATGCTAAAGACGTAATCAATTTATTATTCATAATTACAAGGGTAAATAAGTATTTTTGAAGTATTTGTTATATTTATTTATCAACTATTTATTTATGTTGAGATGTTACATACAAATATTGAGTAATGTATAAATATATAATATAACATATTATAATATATTAAATTTATTGTTATGTTAGTACAGCTTTTAAATAAGTTTTTCTTTTCATTATTTTCAAAATCACAATATGACACTATACATTTATAATATAGACTATGATTTTTCGTTAAGACTTTTATAATACTATAATGTATTTGAATTAATTAATCAATAAATCTATTTTCTTATATCATATTATTAATTTTAGTACCTACAATATATATTTTATATATAATTTGAATTTATTTGATACCAGAAACTCTTGAGCATTTATACCTTTTATCTCATTTTCACTGATCTTATTCTCTACAAAAGATTTATTTTTCATAAATATCATTTCAAGTTGACTTTCTCTCTGTTCATCTAAGAAATCGTCCAATTCTTCTTCCGTCTGATATATATCGTTGTAATTATAGTTATAAACTGATTCAGGGGAAGAGGAACTAGGCCAGTTATTGTCCAGTAAATTTGATAAGTTTGATAGTGAATTTGTGGATGATATATTTTCGTTAATTACTTTTACCTTCGTGACCACTGATTTGTCTTCCATAATATCATCTTGCGTTCCAGCAATAAAATTAACAAAATCACAGTGTTTTGACGGTGATGGTCGGTTATTGAAATTCATATCATTATCTAGCACTGATATTCCAGATAAAATGTTCTTGATAAGTAATATGTTTAAACTCTTTTCGAACCCTTCAGACATGTTTAAATTTGTATATTTTTTAATTATTTGTTGGCACAAAAAATGATGAAAATATATTTTATACAGGTTCAATTATATAAATTGAAAAAAAATAATAGTAACCTTAGAAATATAAGTGTCAAAAATTAGTGTGTGTATAACTATTATTTATTTTTACCAAATAATTTGAATGCAAAACAACGCTACAATACAGTCATCAGATGTAGGTATATTATACTATATAATACTATAGTTCATTTATTAATATTCAACTAAACAAAGGCATTTCGTTAATTTATTCGTAATTTCAACTTATTATCATTAATATTTTTATATTCTGATTATAATTATTTTTAAGATTGTTATATTTATGAGTATAAATGCATAATTAACAGTATAAGATTGAACACATAAATAAGTATTTACTATTGAATGACATCCCTAGGCGGTAGGTGTATAAATAAAAAAATATATAAGGATGCCATAGTTGGTATATCACCAATTTAATACTTATATAATATGATAGATACAATATTAAAAATAGGTAGGAAGGTTTTCTAATGTACAATACATTTGTTTCCATAAATATTTACATCTATTTTATGACTCTCTAGGCACAAATTCGCCAAAATATAACATAAATACGTTAATATGATATTCATTTGAATTTAAAAATGTTTTATATGACTGAATGTTAAACACAGTTTATAAACGTTCATAATTATAAAATTAAAATAACAATATATGACATTAAAATGAAAAAATTATTAATTGTTAGCTATACGTCTATACTCATAAAAAACACACAACATAATACTTTATGTTTATAAAGTACTTAGGTATTCATAAATAAAATAAAATATTATATTTTAATAAAATTATGCTATAAATATCATAGTTATCTTAATATTTACAACCTACACATAGTTCGACAATGCATCTGATTAAATTAATTATTGTTATCTAACCTAAACACTAGCTGTATTCATTAGTCGTTACATTACTTATATCAAGTATAATATTATGACATTCTGCTGGTGGATAAATATAAGGGGGAATGTTGATAACGGCTGATTATCCAGTTTAATAATATAATATAACATTTTAGGTAATATAATATTGATCTAGGATATAATGGATAACAAATACATCTAAATAATATATATATAGTCAGCCAGAACTTCTGTTTCTTTTACAAATACAGATATTAAATATTATATTTCTTATCAGCTGATCAAAATATGCAAAGCATTATTAAAATTATAACGAAGCGACAAGTTTTATTGGTTTTATACTTATGTGTTATTTTTTTCTTATTTCATCTAACATTGTGACGTGTAAGGTCAAGGTGTAACTCCAATATAATATTTATTACATATGCCCACTTTATAGAGGTAAATTTTAAATAGGTATTATCGTAGTTTTAGCAGATCAAAAAAATGTACAGCAAAACAATTTTTAGCTTATTATTATACACAGGTATGCAATAATAACAGTAAATCAACATAAAATACATGTGATAATCTTTTATTAATTTAAAACTATAAATAATATAAGATACCTAATAAAAACATTACATTCAGGAAATTAATTGCAACCACCAACGAGTAACAGATATTAAAATATTCTATAGGTAATCTTATCCACTCTGTACCTACCTATTAATTTACACAAATTTTCTTAATGCACATTCTAGTTATATAGTGTACCTAATTGCAAATTGATTGAAGTCTTAAAATAGAGGCTGAAAAAAATGTAACCGTTCTGACAGTAACAAGGGCTGCAAGATTTTCTTCTATATGTTTATATTTATGTTTAATTAAAAAACACTTAATGTTTCTAAAGGAAATAATATTCTGATCTCAATTATTTATAACCGCTTATTGGAAATGTATATTTCATATTTAGATGAGAAAGAATAATGTTTTACACCATCTATATAGTTTGAAACTGTATTTTACTTTCCATTTTTTAGTTTATGTTCACAATTTATTCAAATAGATGAACGGAACTTTATATTTACCTTACTACAAACGGAAATTATTACTTAAAACAATTTATCGATTTTGTTTTTTGTTTTAATTAAAGAAATAAATAATTGTAGAAATTAGATATCATTACATAAATAAGTATGTACACTTCGTAATGAGTCCCAAAGCGTATGCCGTCTTATATCCATATAATTATTATTATAACTATCGTCATGTTCATTATTATTAATGTTATTTTCGTTAGGTACAGTAGGTGCACATTGAAGTTACAGACGTTATTTTTAAATTTAAATTACTTTCCGTTTCTAACTTCTAGTATGAGAACCCTAATTATAGTATTTAGTATTATCCCTCTCCTTCACCACATTAAACAGAAGAATATCGCATGGTATGATTTTATCATTATTTATATATACATAACTCAGTGAAGTAGCCAGGGGTTGTTGGATGTTTAACCATCATCCCCGCCCCTTACAATTTTTCCCCCTGATAAATTTATTATTTATACACGAAAACTATAAAAAACTTGGTTAAATACTTTAATTTATACTTACCCCCCCCTCTCTTTCAAAAACGACACTGACATCACTAAACAGAAATTGTCATAGATCCTTTATTATTTATGGTGATTGTTTCATTATTAAACTTTAATATTAACCTGTTTTGACATGTTAGAAAACAATATAAGTAGGTACAATATAATACTATAATAATAATATTATGTATCCATATTTTTTTAAGAATGATTATAGTGTTGTTTTATCAATAGATATGTATACTAAGTTCATTAATACGTCAACAATATAGTATCAGTCATATACTTAGGTTGATTTCAAATAGGTTGTTGATACTTTGATAGACATTATAAGAGGATATCAGTTCACTATTTGTTTTCTCTCTAAAAAAAACTCAAGTGCAACATAATAAATTTGAGACCTCAGAACCAATATTGGGTTGTTATAATACAATATGGATTGACCTATTATCAAACTTAATCTAAAGCTAAGAACATTATCTAGGACTTTTATTGATATATTCATTTTAAAGTGAAATTTAAGCGTTTAAAATTGTTATGTTTGTTTAATTATGCTGTTGTGACTTACATTAAAATTAAAATATCAATAAAAGCCTATAATGTTCCCCATTAGATAGTAATAATAGGTCAATTGACGCTGATATTAAAACTAACAACACAAGGTTGGTTCTGCTGAATGCAAATTTTCTAAACATTGTGCGTAGTTCATGGTTAAAAACGAATTGTACGTACCTATTTATTTTCATACATATTTGTCAATGTAAGATAATTTTTTTATGTTTCGTAAAATACACGTATATTATATAATATAGCACTCACGAAATATATTTACTGACTTAATTTTTATTCATCAATGCAAAAGGCACACAGTGATGCTTAAATTATAATTGTTACCCAATCATTATAATACATAAACAATATAATATTCTCTACCTAAGTATATTAAAAGAAATTAAATTTAAGGTACACACAATTTAATACATTTCTAGAAAACAATATTCGTGTATATGTTTTCGCAGAACGATATATCATTACCTTGCAATCCATTTGATGCATTTATTAGAAATTGAAATATTTCTTCTGAATTCAGAAGAACGTAAGATATCATTAAAAGTTTACAGAACCCAAATGTTGTGCTTATTCTAATAGATAACTTTCCCCCGAATTTGTGTGTAGAAAAACTCATTGTTATACTCAGACCTTTTGCCTGGGTTGCGTACTTAAATGTAACTTTGGAAGACTTTTCTATCTCAGTTTTTCTCCTTCGCGTTCTTCTTTGCCTTTATTTTATTTTATTTTTTTTGGTTACAGTTTGTTTCTAAAAGTACGATCGTTGAACTCCCATTTCACCATTTCGAAATCCTATCATCAATCAGACCTGAACAAATATTCGGGTATCGACGGGTTTACTCATCCACCTTTTATTGTGACAAAGTGCTGATCGCTCTGAAATAATAGAACATTCTCTCGGAGAATAAAAAAAAAGTTTGTGAAAATAACATTTAATACGTTATGTATCATTCATTGATGATACCTAGAACCTTGAACCTGCACTGGTTTTATTATAATCAAAGATTACATTACTAAAAATATATAAAAAAAATAATGTTTTAACGACATATTAGATACTGATTTTATTTGATAATACATTTATTTTATTATACAATACGGGACAAACTCTTTAATAACATGAATATAAACAATAATAATTGTATTATATTAAATTGTAATAGTTTATAGTAAGGTTTATATTATGCATTTTGTTGGTTTTGTGATGGAAACCTACCAAATCACTATTGTCTGATTCAAATGAACACTGGAAAATACTTAGTGTCCATTTACAAATTGTTGAACTGTATAATTTTATATTTTAAGCTTCATTTCAGATGAAAAATATATGCCACTATAGAATAAGTTAATACAGACTGATAGACGATTACAGACATGTAAAAACATTGTTGTTTAAATTTTTTTTTTAATATCGAAATGATTCTAATATACTAGAATCAATATAACAAAATATGAAAATTGAAAGTTATATGCTTAAATTAAATAGATAATAATTATCTACAATTTTATCTTACAATTATTGTAATCTAAGTCCCTCTTGGAAAATTATGAAAAAAATATGATAAAATACCTATATTGAATTATAATTTTAAAATATAACCATATTATGTAACTGGTAATTTTGATAAATTTACGTGTCAATAACATTTTCAACACTACTTTGTAGTTTTTATTAATTATTATTATTTTTTTTTTGTTCCATCTGAGTGTTATTTTTGTAAATGTGACTTTTTTTGTGTATCATTTCTGGTGTTCAAAAAGAAAGCGTATATAATTCTACGTATGCTACCATTGAATACATTAAGGACTGAATTATTCAATCTGCAATCAATGACCACACGTCTGTATTTAAATTCAAAGCCATGCATGTATCAACTACAAGATTAATCCGATTTGTTTATATGTTAATTATGAATATGTTCCGG